AACAACAACCTCATCACCAATTTAGCACGTATAGGATGCTCATTGTGTACTCTGGAGTTAAAGATGAGGCAGACAGCATCCTCAAAAGTCATATAATCCAGTAGGACAGCATTTCCTAAATTTCAGTAATCACCTATCGTTTTACTAATTTTTTTTAGTGTTAACCTAAAGATTAGCCTTGAACCCTGAATCGCTATATAGGAGAGGCTTAAAGGTTGGGAGACTGGTTAAAGCTCCTCAAATTCTCCCACGGTTGCTGCTATTGTTTCTAAGGAACATCTGTAAAATTACCTCAATAATAATGGTGATATATTTTAATAGATATTCAATAAACGTCACCTCTAATCTTGAATTGCACCAGGAGTTATGCATAGCATTCAGCAGCTACTATTGGAGACGATTTAAGCTATGTCCAGAAAAAGCTGACCTGAGAGGAAGTGCTAACAGCCATTAACTGCTATGAGCAAAGTATAAACAAATCATGGAGAGATTCAAGGCGGAAGAAACAGCTTCCAGGAGTAAAGCATGTACTTATATCATACACATGCTTACATTGAACAAATAGGACAAAGGGCTTTGGCAGACTCTGCCTGCATAAACTGTGCCGAAAACCATTGTCAATACTTCCTCACCTACCTCATCTTATCCTGCAAAACATCTGCTTCTTTAAAAGACGTTACGTACTAAGTCTTCAGCTAGAAATTGAAAATCATGATTTTCCTTCCAGGAGAAGGAAGGAAAGGGGGCAGGGAATCATGCCTTCTGTGATTTTACTATAAAATCTTCTGCTACTTAAAACTATATATTTAGTATGGGTAGAGAGCAAAAAAGGGCAGGCAGTAAATGGATTTTTTTGGACAAAACCATGCTCCTCTGTGAATTCAGATTAGGAATGCTATGTTGACTTTCGAACATTCTGTTCTATTTGAAACAGCTGGGACAGCAAGGAAGACTGTATGTTCTACAGAAACCCAATTTGATGACAGAGAGGCCATGAAATGCTTCTGTTGTCTACACACAGAGAGGAATGTCATGTCAGATTCAGGTCTGAATTGCATTTTAAACATAAACTTTTAGATCAGGCTTTGTCCAGTTAACTTGGACAGCTTAGTACAATATTATATTATGCTCTCAGAAACTGTGGACATTGAAAATCTTGAAAGGTTGGTAGAAATCTGACTTTTTTTTTTTTTTTTTTTTTAGTTTTAATTTGAATTCCAGTTAGTTAGCATACAGTATAACATTAGTTTTGGGGGTAAACTAGAGTGGTTCAACACCCCCATACGTCACCCCATGGGTATCCTGACAAGTGCCCTCCTTAAACCCCAGTCACCATAGAAGGAAACAGCAGGAGGTTGCTATAGCCTAGACAGAAAGAGCCCCTGGCTTGTCCCCTTCCTTTTCACTGCTCTCTCCACCAGCAGCGTGGTTAGGCTGCATGTCTCACTGCCTTCTTACAACATAAACAAATTGAGAGAAGCCAGTGGCCAATACGGTTCTGCTATTCCAACAGTTCTTCGTCTGTCAAGAGTAACACAGTCAGGGTTCTGTAAGTGTAATGCTAATAGCGATCCTCTTCCAAACAAACGTGCATCAAACACTTTGTCTTTTGTGCTACAGACTGTGTGAAGGCTTTGCATTCCTAAGGGTTGGTGATGATTTTTCATCTTCTGCCATTCTCTCCCGCCCCCAGCAGAGTGCCTATATGTTGCAGAAACTCAAGTTCTCGTTGAATGTTGTACTTAAACAAAAACAAGCACCCATGTGCAGCAATTTAGAACGGAAGCTCCAGAGAGGCAGCGGGCTTCGTCTGTTTTGTTGACGGATGTGAGGGGCAAGCACCTACCTAGTAAGTTCCTGGCACATAACGGACACTGAGTGAATATTTGTTGGATGCATGGATAAGTACGATGACTTTCCAAAGAGCCTGGGAAGTACTTATTTGATTGGTAAATCAAGCAGAGGACACACTGTCGGAATGTGCACAGAAAGCAAGATGAGGTTGGTAATTTCTCCTTTCTTCCAGCCAGGGGCTGGCAAACGCTTTCTTTCGAGGGCCAGATCATACAGAGCGTAGGCTTTTGGAGCCATTCACTCTCTGCCCTACCTACTCGACTCTTGCTGCTGAGTGTGAAGGCAGCCACGGATGACACGTGAATAAATGCGTGGCTGAACCTCAATAAAATGTTACTGACAAAAGCAGTCAGCAGGCAGCACTCACCTCACGGGAGGTAGTGTGTTGACTCCTGCTCTACCATAACTGGCGAGAACGAAGCTATTCAAGAAGACAAACAGGTAGCTATTCCCTCCACGAGGACCACGCCTTGGGCATCTTTCTGTGTCCTGCGACCTCACCTGGGTTAGGTCGTACAGGGCTTTGCAGGGTGGTGGCAGCTCAGTATGTTTGTCGAATTTTAAACTGAATCTTACAATAACTGATTTCCTGGAACCACAGTTGTCAGGAGAACCAACAAATTCAAGTCACTGCAACGTGCCTTTTCTTTGAAGTCTCCTAGCAAAACATGTGGGCAGTTAATAGCTATGGAAATAATATCAAATAAAACTAGGGCAGCACCTTCTCTCTTGATAGAGGACCAATGCCTCTTACTTGAAGCCTAGCCTTCAGGATGTCAACAATTAACCGGAGGTAACTCTTCTGATTATCTGTGAGGCTAAGAAACGATGAACAAATGTCTCACTGCCCATCTGAGCTCCTGCTTCTTTTGAAACATTTTCAGTGAATTGTTTTCATAAAGGGTATAGAAGCAAATCATTGTTGGTATCACAACTGGCCAAAATGTGCTCCCACATTTTCTTCTCCAAAATATGATGTACTCAGGGGTGCTGAGTTAGATTATGCATTATTTCAGGCCAGACATCTGTTACAAATGGTGAGAGTCTACATATTCATTACTGGAATGGATCAATGTTTTCAAAAGTTTAAGTAATATTAATGTAGAACAAATGACATCATAAAATGTGCTTTGCGGCCTTTTCTGATACTCGCACTACCTATTTGCAAAATTTTCAACTTATTTCTTATTTTACTAAGTGTTGGCCTCCCTTACAAACCAGGCCTGATTTCTTCTTCAGCTGCAAATGTAATTTTAAAGAGAACTCCAACAAGATTACTTGCTGAACACGTTAAACATTCATAGCTTTGCCATATGCTGTTATGGAAATTACACTGATTTAAAGCAATCTGGGTGTCACTAGGTAGTACTGATTCACCTGATACCAAATCTAACCATGGTGAGAAATAATGTTTTAAAGGTGTCATTTGCATCTAGACCTCTGTTGAACTAAGAGGCACGTACTGGGTTTATTTTTGGAGACAATGGATTTTCATATTAAAAATATGGTTCTACATCTGGTGATTTCTAGAAAAATTAAGGTTATAGGAGGCCCAAATTTACACTATGATAGCATAGCAGTCAAGGATATAGATTCCTGAAGCCAGGCAGATCTCAGTCTTAATCCTGGCTCAACCATTTAAGAGTTCTATAACCTTCAATGGTAAGAGAGGGCAAATAATGGTGCCGACCTGCCAGGTTTGCTGCAAGGATTAAATGAGCTAATGCACGTAAAGCATGTGACAGCTCTGAACAGAGCACCTTCATGCGGTTGGCTCAACAATGAGTCAGTAGTATTATGGGCTATGGCCGCCTAACCTTTATACTTCTGTTGGAAGGTTAGCAGCATCCCATATTAAGTGGTGGAGAAATGCTTGAGTATATGGGGTCTGATGGGGATGTCGAAAGATGATTTAGTGAAATTAGGATCTGCTATACAAGACAATAAGGTCACTGTTATAGTCAATAATCCCCAACTATAAAAAATCAAAGGGAAAAAGGCACAGTCTCAGGACACCCTTTGCACAGTTACAGCATCAATAATGTGGCATAACTGTTGTTTTTATTTGGGATGGGGAAAGCGGAGAGCTCATTTTAAGCATGCTAGGGAAAGACTTATGGAAATGAACACTGTCTTTAGATCCACTGAGCATTCTATCCAATTACATTCAGAGGACAGAAGAAGCTTCTTAGAAATAATTACATTTGGCTGTAATAAGTGAATATATATGGTGTAATGAATATTCATACATATTGAAGTCTGTGAGAATATAAAAAAGAGAGAAGAACCTTTAATTTTTGTTTGTTTGTTTGTTTCCCTAAATTGACTTGGGCATGTACATTTGAAAATAGATGGATTCTCTCTAGGTCAGTGTTCTGAATGGGGGGACGGTTTTGCTCTCTAGGGGGTGTTTGGCAAGTGTCTAGAGACATGTTTTGATGCCACAACTTGCGACAGAGGACGCCACTGGCATCTGGTGAGTAGAATCTCGGGCTACTGCTAAATGTTCTATAATGTGTAAGGTAGCCTTCACAACAAAGAATTATCTGGTCCAAATGTTAATCCCAAGGCTGAGAAACGCTGCTCTAAGCTAGTAACTGTTCAGGGCCTAACAGGTTTAAAATCACCCACACCCCAGGTGGATCTTGGGGAGACTCTAGAGGATGGTAGGCTTTTTTGTCAATATGGTCAACTTTCCAGTCTCCTGTGTTGATTCCACACTACTGAACCATAAGCTGAAGTCATTGTGTGGAGTTCATATCCTCAGGAAAAGAATGATCATAAACACCAAGATTAGAGTTCACGAAGTACTATGTGTTACTTGACCTTCTGGAGACTTCACAGAGGAGGTCTACCACCTATGCAGAGCCTCTGACCGACCAAGAGACCAAGGGTCTCCTGGCATATGATTTCTTAAACAACATCAATACCAAGAGACAAAAAACATGTTAAGCAACAATGGCATAAAATTAAAGATAATTCCCAAGTAAAAAGTTATAAGTACAATCTCTGGAAATTTTATTTTCTAGTCCCCTGAAACTGGAGTATCTTTTCTTTTACGTGAACCCTGCAGGGGCAGCTTAGAAGGCTGTAGCCACAAACATGGATAATGCTCAAAGACTGAAAATGTATATCAAGGACATTACTTTGAAGCCTCTGACTCTGTACTTGGTGTCATCAGAGCGCTGAAGAGACTCTCTGTGAATGCCGTATTTAGAATATCTCCCATCAATTCTTTCAGAAAAACTGCGGGAATCCTGAAAAAAACAACAATGTCAAAACCAGCAGATGAAAGGAAAGTCGGTATTTGAAATAAGAAACAGAAAGTATTGATAGGTGTTTAGAAAGATCTGGGGCAAACAGAGGTCACGCCAAGGAGAAAGAAGGAAAGGGTTGCTTTGGATGCTACCTTAAAAATAAAAACAGGGTCCCACTTTGGTTATGTGTATTCTTTTCACAACTAGTCCTTTGTCAGTCTGAAATGACTGACACTTTTAGTTGAAGGAAACAAGGTTCCAGTAAAAGTGAATTGTCTAAAGATGGTCATTAATGACACATGTCACTTTTGAATGCTGCATTCTCTCTTTTGGAGTAGTACCTGACATCAGAATATTCTGTGTTAAAAAAAAAAAATGTTGTTGGGGTGCCTGGGTGGCTCAGTCGGTAAAGCAACTAACTCTTGGTTTCAGCTCAGGTCATGATCTTATGGTCATGGGATTGAGCCCCCTGTGGGGCAGGCTCTGTGCTCAGTGTGGAGTCTGCTCTAGATTCTCTCTCCCTCCCTCTCCCTTTGCCCATCCCCCTCCCCCAACACATGCATGCTCTCTCTCCCTCAAATAAATAAATAAAATCTTTAAAAAAATGTTACCTTTAAAACTAGAGTCCTCTTTCATCATTAATTCTTAAACATTCTACCCTGTTAACCAATATTATCACATAGATTTTTAAATTGAAGGATACTTCATCTGCTCTCAAAAGCATAGAGATTCAGGTAGTAAAGAAATTAAGAAAGAAAAATGTCAGAGTCATTCATTCATTCTTCTCTTCCCTTTCTCTCCTCCCCTTCTTCCCTTCCTCCATAGTTTGGAGAGAGGATGGAACATAGTGGTCATGATACCTAGTTATTTAGACATTTCTATTATGAATTAGGAAGAAATTAGAATAAAAGAAGAGCAACTGATTTGCATATGTAAGAAAAATTATCTACAGGATTTAGTTCACCAAATAGTCCCAAGGAACTTACTGAGTGTTCAAGCTGGAAGGAGTATTAGAATTACAAATTTCTTTATTATAGATAAAATGTTCTACCCCAGTGGAAGTTAAAAATGATTTGCCCAAGACTAGGCAATTTGTGACAGATTGGGCTTGGAGCCCAAAGCTATTTCTTTTCTACCATACCAAGTATATAAGGTTTAAATGTGGAATTGTAGAGTTGAACCACTTCTTTCAAAACAAGGTTAAAGAAAATAAGAGGGCCTATGACATGTTTAAAGGAAAAAAAAAAGACTAAATAGGATGAGATTTGCATTTACTATAGCTTATACTTACTTAGCCATAGACTGTAGTATTATCAAGAAATACACATGTGAAATATATCTTCACAGAGATACTAGCAATGCCAATGTGAGTAGGAACTGGAGATAATGTTGCTCAAGCCCCTCATTCTAGGCATGAGGAAATACCAAATTTACTAAGTAGTTTTGTAACTACTTAGTAAAAGCTCAGATCAGAGCTTACGTCTTTGGGCTCTTGTTGACAGCATCTTGATTTTTAGAAAGTTTCAGAAGTTTGAAAAACATAATCTCATAATCTAAAGGCTTTATGCATTTTTATTTAAGGCTAGGTCTAGTTGTTTTCATTAAGTTGACTAAATAAGCTCTTTTTAATCATAGAGGGGACTTTAGAGTACATAGAGAGTAGGTTTCGAGCTAGAGGCAGTAAAGGCAAAGAAAATGGGCTTGTAGTTAATACATGGAACTAGATCCCAGTTCCAAACACTTTACATACTCCAAGCTTCCATTTCTTTGGCTGTAACAATGGGGGAAAATAGTGCCCATGAGTAGGGGGTCAGAGGATTTGAAAATAAATGTAATACAGGTTAGAACGTAGCTACTGGCCGCAGCATGCTAGTGCGGAACACCTGCTAATGGACTCCTTTCCTTGAAAGCTAAAGGTTTCAATTTTAATGACTAATATTGGAAAGCACGATTACGAACTTTGAAAAATACTCTCCCTAAAAACACCACTAAACAGGCATCTTCATGTGTATGTATATATATGCTAGACTTGTAGGTAATCACTTGCCCATATGATGAAAAAAAGTAAAACTTTTGGTAATAGGACTTATAAATTGAGAACTTATAAATTGCACTTATGAATATTCTGTTCAGTGTAGACCCCTGGAAAAAAAGTGATCTGTCACTAGAGGTTAAATTTTTTCTTTTTTATGCTGGTATAAGGGAGACATCTGTTTTTCAGTAGCAAATGCCACCTGTTTCCAACACCTTCTCTTGTCTGCCCTTCCTTCCCTTAGATGACTTGTTAGCTACAGAGAAAAATGTGGAAGGGATGTGGGAGTAACATACTGTCTGCTATCCACATTGGGTAATAGAAGGGTGAGTTAAAATCATATCTCTTTGGACACTGGTTTCATAATCCTTTGATAGGGATTTAGACTGCAAATATGTAATCAAATCATGAGAAAGAATAGAAACTTTAGCAAAATGTACTAGAAACACTCTGTTTGTTCTATCTGCGTTAGCCTCGATTTCTGGATGTGTCAGCTCAACCCTGGATCCTGTTCAATAATGTTTAGTTACTGAACTATGAAAATATGCTTAGTGAAAGGTGACTTTAAGATAGCATAGATCTTGAGAGCCATATTCTGTCAGTGCCTCTGATAATCAATATGGCATAATCAGGCTATATTTCCTACTTACTAGATTCTCAAATAATATGTTAGATTTAAACAAAACTTAAATGTAACACAAGTTATATTTTAAAGCCAATATGAAATAAGGGGTTCATGGTTTTCAAAGTATACTCTCACCATTGCCAGGTTCAGCCACATGGGACCCGGGTATTATAAATCACTACAATTGTCCATTATCTATGCATCCCTAAAGGGATATGCAAGGTATTCTCTGGCCTGAACCTTGTCTGGCAGGACTGGAGGCAGAATTATTTGTTTTACATGTCTCCTCTTCGAGAACTTCAAGAAGTTACAGTAGTTATGTTCACACATGTAATTAATTTCCTTGATAATGAAATGATTTGTGGTTTGAGTTCTATCAATAAATGGCATGGGATATAAAATCTAAAACTCTATGGATTTGAATTCAAATATCATAGTATAGAGAAAACCTGTGTACTATCCTATCTCTAAAACAAACAGTACTCTGAAAATTTGTAATTAAAGAAAGAAGATAGTCCATAAATTAAAACTGCTTGTCAAAAAAGTTATCTTCTGTCAATATAATGTGTAACCTCTTTTAAATCTCAGGTGTTTCTAAATTAAAGTTAAAGCTTTAGGAAGCCAAATGAGCTTCTAGTGTGAGGATAAAAGTCTCTAATTTCCTCTACTGTGGTAATATGTAAGTTCCAGTATTTTCAATCCTGACTTAACAAATGTCAATAAACTCTGATAAGATGGAATATTAAGAGTCTCCAATATTTTTTTGGTTCTTCCTCCCTCCCTACAACCTTCTTTGCACATCAGGAAGATGTCAAATGTTCTCACTCAAATAGGAATACTGAAAGAGACAAGCCAACTTTTTCTCACTCTCAGGTCTTTGAAATCTTCTAGTAAGCTCAGTTTCTCAGGCACAGACTCCAGATGGTCCAAGGCCACGCGGGTACTCTGAAAAAGAAAACATACGGCAGTCAAACATTATAAAAAATTGATCAATACTCTCAGAATCCAAGTACTAAAAATCACTTGTACCATGGTTAGAAGCAATTCAATCTATAGATTTAGACAGTAAAATAAGAACAGATATCATAGTATTTCTGAGATAAATACATATTTTTTAAATCAGGAGAATTATTTCCTTTCATAGAGCTTATGAGATGCATTTGTAAAACTGCCTCAGATATAAAAACTCTTCCTGGATAATTACTTTCAACTGATATGCTATGAAAGTTTCTATAGAGCATTTCATATTAATATTAATTTACAAACCTGCTTCAGTGAATATCAGAAATAAAGCACAAAATATATTGAGAAACAGATGAATTTGAAGTTACTTCTCTATGGAATATATTAGAGATCTCCCCATGTTGCCATTATACAGAAGAAAAGAGTTCCCAACCATTATTTTACTTAAAAAAGAAGAAGAGGTTCTCATAAAATTTGGGAGAAATATCTGAAATTAAATATTTATAAGAGGGACACAAAATCCTGTTGACTATAAATAAAAAACTTAGTCTTTAATTAGCTTTGATTACACCCACCAATATAAACATTAACAGGGAATGATCTAAACATTATTTTAAAGGCAATATGAACCAAGAAGTGGTAGAATAACCTTGAGACCAGAGAATATATCCTAGGCATCTCCATATTCTTAGTCCTGTCACAGGCCCAGCACATCAATGTATTCTTAGTCAACAGATATTAGCTTTTAAATTTAAAACGAATTGCAATTATTCAATGAAATAAACCACAAACCCTGTGGCTGGTGCACGGGAAGAAAGTGAAGTGTCTTGTGATAACCTGGACCTAAGTTTGCACAGTGTTGTTGAGAAGTTAGTGGCCACCCAATAGTTCGTATGCTGCTCCCCTACCATCTCCCATGTGTTGTTCTAGCGGGCGTTGGTGGTATAGTGGTGAACATAGCTGCCTTCCCATGTGTTGTTCTGAACAACACACAATAAGTGCAAGTGACAGGTCTCACTTATAAGCCTAGTCAGTTAAGACCCTATGTGTTCCCGCTTCCATCCCAGCCCCTGCTATGAGGACCTGGGAGGCCACATGCTTCAGATGGCAGAGCTACAAGAGAGAGGAGAGCTGTCGGCCATATTGGACATCATGTGAGTGAGACATCAACCTCTGTTGTGTTTAGCCATGAGATCTCAGGGTTTATTAGTTATTACACAGAATAAATGCCTTAATTATTAAAAATAATGCCAGAGAATTACATAAAATGTAGGTTAATCTTTTTTTGGTGGGAGGAGGCTCCAAATTATGAGTACATGAGGATTTTTTTCCTCAGAGGAAGTTCAGTTTTTCTGGAACCAGGCAGGGTTAGGAACTGATGTTACCTCATTTGGTATGCCCACTTACACTTAATCTTCCTATTTTAAATCCTCTGTCTCACTCTAGTGTTGTGGTCTGCCTTCACTTCCAATCCAGAGCTTCTCTAGAACATACATGTATGTCTCTGCAGGGTTTGTGTTGGGGTGGGGACAGAGACAGAGAGTTGAGGGTCTAACTCCTCCTTGCAGACATTTTCAATATACTCATTTCCACCCTCTCCTTCTGGAGTAAATGGTACATCCAATTCAAAAACCTCTCTCAAAGTCTGCAGGGTGAAAGATATTTGCTTTCTGTTGGTATCCCCTTGACAGGTGCTTGCATTTTTCCTTCTCTGCTTTGAATCATTTTACCATTTCTCTAACAGGATTCTCCAACATGGGAGTTATACATGTCTTCTAGTTGTCAATGCATAAATGAGTGTTTCTCTTTCTTCATATTCTTTTCTAATGTGATTTTTAAGACAGCAGAAACACTTTAACTTCACCATTTTGAAATTGGAAGTCATATGTCCTATTTCTTCAAGTTCATAAAAATCTTCCTTTTCTAGTTCCATTTAAAGGCTTTAGTATTTTCTTCCTTCTGTTTAACATTTATATGCTTGTTAGTTTTTTCTTTTTGCCGCATGTGCTCACTTAAACACCCATGCATTTTAAATGGCTTCATTTAATTTTTTCATGTGTAGGAAAGATTCATCAAAATGACAAGTTTCTTAATATGGGCTCCAACATGTAGGTTTAGGAGAGCAAATAATTTTAGCCACCATGTGTGCTATATTCATCAATAGTAAAATTAATAGATCTCCTCAATAATTATATTGGCCCTTTAACAATAAAATATAAATCCATGCTGTGGTGATTTTAAAGCAAATTTTTTTTTTTGTACCAAAAAATATCTTCATAAACAATGATTGCAAATAGACTTGCAATTTGGAAACTATTTACCTTTTTTTAGTCCCACAAATTTTCTCATTCAGAAGTGACCCTCTGAACTAGGGAGAAGTATGTTAAACTCATTTTGTTCTTAAAATAAGTACATGATTTCTTTCCCTACTATAAAATTCAGCATGTTATGCAAATATTTTTGTTTACAATTTTCAATCAACCAGGTGACTGCATGAAGAAATTTTTTTCTTGCATATTTTCACATACTAGTTTATTTTGACTATTTGATAGTTTTTGGATGCATATTCAAAATGGCTATATATATATTTTTTGCTTGAACCTTAAAAAACTCCTTGGCTCTTACTTTCTTAAGTACAGCTATTTTTCTACTCTCCGCTCCCACCCCCTACGTCTCCATTAATATATTTAAACTTTTTCATCATCTATTTTGGTTGTGGCTTACTTTGTATTCCTTTTATGTGTTGTTTCTAAGCATCTTCCTTAATATCAGAAATAGTTTCTGGTTCACACGACTTTCCCTTCACCCTTACAGTCTTGTCAATCAGGTAACACCAAATGCATATCTAGATACCACAGAAAGATCCACAAGATAGAGATGGAACAGTTCCTGTTCTTCAGGAGCTTTTAACTCATTGGGGAGAGGGATGAGGGAGAAGTATGCATATGCACAAGATGTAAGAATTACAGAAAGAAAAAATTCATTGCATTTATTTTAAAGAAATTACGTATACAGATGCTGAGATTTTTAAGGCCTCTGCAACAGTAAGATATGAAATAATGAAAATAATGAGTCCAGCAGGCCTGCAGGCATCTCACATCTCATAATTTCATGAGTAAGTGATATTTGGGGGAGGATATTTATTTTCTGACTGTTGTGGTCTCTCTGTATGCACGTGAGTGTGCTTAAAACCACCACTTCTGCATATAGACTTAAGAGTATGCATATACACGTTCTAACTTTTTTTTTTTTAGTAACGTGAGCTGCTCTGAGGTTCTATGATTAGAGTCTGGTCACATTACATGTCACTTCAAGTTCACTTTTCCCCAAAAGCTAACAGTGCTAGAAAAATGGAACCATTAGTAGATGAATAATCTGAATAAGGAACTTACTGGTTTTCCAGTGCCATAAGGAACCATAGAGTATGTTAGTTCCTAGGGCAAAAAACCTCATGCAGAGTCGGGGAAACTTTCTTTTTTTTAAGTTGGTTAATTTTTTCTGCCTCACCCAGTCTAATGCTTTAAAGGGCACAGACAAGTCCCTACTACTAGAATTAAGGGAATAATCTCTCCAGTTATTCAGTAATGGCACCAAATGACAGGTGCTTAACCTGTCTTTAATTTTCTTGGGTGAATTTTCTAGAAGAACTAAATAAGACATTCACAAAAGGGTTTAAAGATGGTTTCTCTTTTGAAAATATTATAAGATACTAAATTTCATATCAAAATTGAAAACAAAGAAAAATTCACAATTAAGAACCCACTTAATAAGGGACCAATACTTTGTGTAGTAACACTTGGTTTATCTCAGAGGCTTAAGGAGCTGGACTCCCACTGAGCTACGTGCAGTGACAAAGCAAATGATCAACTGCTCCTAGCACCATAATGAAAGACCGAACCATAAAAATGTAACTCTTTTTTTTTTTAAAGATTTTATTTATTTATTTGACAGAGAGATCACAAGCAGGCAGAGAGGCAGGCAGAGAGAGAGGAGGAAGCAGGCTCCCCTAGAGAGCAGAGAGCCCGATGCGGGGCTCGATCCCAGGACTCTGAGATCATGACCTGAGCCGAAGGCAGCGGCTTAACCCACTGAGCCACCCAGGCGCCCCTGTAACTCCATTTTGAATATACTTCTTAATCCTCACATCATGATATGCTGTTATATGTGTTATTCCCCATGACACAGATGAAGCAACTGAGAACCAAAGTGTAATGTCAGTCTGGTGGTGGCAAATTTGGAGTATGAATCCAAGCAGTTAGAATGCAGAAATGGCAGTGTTCTTACTACAGTAATACTCTGATGGTAAATCCCCAGAAGCTGTAACACTGTTTGATATAAATTCCTAACCTTCCCTCACTATCAACTTTTGGCATCTAGAACTTTGGAGATATGTCCCTGATGGGCATATTTATGAAGAGGAGTCTCAAGATGGACACAGGAAGCGGTCATCTGGCCATTGCTGAAAGTGTGTGCTCAATACCATGCATCCAAGCACATGCGAGCTCAGGATTTTCCATCTTTTGATTTGAGGAAGTTAGGTATGAGATTCAGTTTTATGATGCTCATTAACACACCCTTTTCTTTTTCATAACATTTTGCAATAACATAGCACACTATCTGGCCACAAGAGGTGCTTCGGTCATTGCTGGCTGTAAAGACAAAGGCAGAGTTACCACTCTCTGATCCATCCACCAAATCTTGGCTTCTTTATTAAAAACTGAGAAGTGAAAAGTCTGTGGTTTCATTTATTTTCTCTAGATGAAGGCAAGATCAAATGGTAGAAACAAAAGTGAAATTCGGAAATCGTGTCCATTCGGCTCTTTGGCTTTTGCACCTACCGGCGGGTTTTGCTATCCATCTGTCTGAGAGGGCAAAGAATAAGCTGGCAATTTTCCTATTCCAAAATCTTCAACATACACCAAACTGCCATGTAGTCGAGCACTTTGTACTGGTCGGCGGTATATTTTTCCTTAGTTGTTCCT